CCTTCCCCTGCGCCTGCGCCTGCGGCCAGCTTCACACTGTCCAAGGGTGAGCTGCTTATGCTGCATTGAACACACACACGCACCTCACTCAATTGTGGACCCACGCAAACAAACTTTGCCGTTGCAATTTCATGGCAGCATGCGCCCAACGACACACCAAAGTCTGCATGCAATGAGACCGACGTCCATTGCCAATTCCCTTAGTGAACCACAACTCCGCCCCACTCACACTCCCACCCCCTGAAACTGGGCAGTGGCTCTCCGCCCCGACGAGACTGTCCACGTCAACATGCGGCGCATTGGAGTGTCCGAGGGCGGCCTTGTCCCCGACTTTGCAAACCTCGGGATCTCCGCAGCCATCATCGACACCGGCATTGACAAGCGCCACCCAGATCTGAACATCGTCGGCGGCAAGAGCTTCTGCACATCAGAGATCAACAGCGATCCTTACAAAGACGGCCTTGGGCACGGCACTCATGTGGCCGGAATCCTTGGCGCAAAGAACAACGGCCAGGGCATCATTGGCGCGGCCCCAGGTGGGGGAGGTGGCACGAAAGCGTTGGTGAAAACCCCATCTTGCTTCAGGGAGACGCATGCATGGGTGCATGACAACCCAATGGTTTTGATTTGCACTTGAGTACCCGCTGGCCCGCTGCGTGTGATCACCTTTCGCAAAGCGCACTCACTGCATTCAACTTTCAATGTTGCTGGGCACGCTGCAGGTATCCCAATATATTCTCTGAAGGTGCTCAGCTCTGATGGCACCGGCACAACCTCGGACTTGCTGCGCGCTTACGAGTGGCTGTACTACAACGCCCGCGCGCTTGGGATCCGCGTGGTCAACCTTAGTTTGACTGGGGGCGGCGGCGCGACCGACCCCCAGTGCGAGTGGACGTCGGCGCTGGCGCAGCAGGGCATCACTGTCGTCGCTGCTGCGGGGAATAACAGGGCAAATCTGATGCAGGAGGCACCTGGCGCTTGCGCCAAGGCGCTTGTGGTGAGCGGTCAGCCATCTGATGTTGCTTCTGTAGTCGCTGCCCCCGCCCCACCTGCGCCGAGCGGGCCCTTCAAAGCAGCCACCCTGTCTGCCTCCCCTGCCCTCGTATATCGGCTCGATGCACGGGCCCGCCTGCTGTTGCCAACGCGCCACCATGCCCTGCAACCTTGATTACATCAGGTGACATCATTCACCGACAAGGATGGGGTTCCCGGCAACGACAACGCGTCCGAGTGGTTCTCCAATTGGTTGCCCATGTCCCAGGCAACCGACGCGCTCAAGCGGCGCATCGTGTCTGCACCTGGGGACAACATCATCAGCACATACCCCCTTGACCGGCCCAAGCTGAAGAACCTGCCAAAGGGGTACGGCATCATCAGCGGGACCAGCATGGTGAGTGCTTGACCGAATGCTGTGAGTCTGTGCTGGTTGATGTTTTGATCAGTGCTGGGGCCATTATAACAAGGTCTGGGAGCCGGCCGATCAGTTAAATGCAAGGAGTGCTTGCTATCACGTGATTTCCTAGGTGTGCTTGCTCGCCAGGAACAGGTAGCATGCTGGGCCTACCGCCCACGCCTCGACGCCTCACTCACCGGCCACGCTCTGTGCCAACCTCCCCACCAGTCCTGCCCGCACGTCACCGGCATCGCCGCCCGCTGCTACGCCTCTGGCGAGTGCGGCGCCGCTGAGGACACAGAGGGCGAGAAGATCGCCCGGCTGACGCGCGACTACAATGAAGGCCACCCCAAATACGGGTTCAACGGCGACGCCATGGGCGGCCCCGACGGCGCCGGCAAGTTCTTTGTCGGGGACAAGTACTTTGGTTACGCGGTCTACGCGGGCCGCTGGTGACGGCAGCGGCAGCCCAGCCGACGTCCCGCACTGCCTGATCGCGCTTGCAGCGGGCTGGCAGCCCGCCGGCCACTCTGCAGGGCAGGGCAGGGCATTGCAGGCCTCTCAATTTCATGGAGTGGGCTGGCCTTTGTGAGCTGCAAGGCCAGCCTCTCACTTGATCTGGCAGGCCAAAGGTGCCCAGCTTGCGAGAGCGCGCAGGGTCAGCAGTCGTGCTGCAGGTACTGCTTGGCTGCACGGTTCAGCACCTCCTGAGCATAGTTGCTGCGCGCAACGCAATCCCCTCTGAGCGTCCCCTCGGACCAAATCAACACTTGCAAAACATCACACAACGCTGAGCACGCTGCAAGAGCGCATGCTTTGCCTCAGGCACGCTGCAAGAGCGCGTGAGCCGCGCCGATGGTTTTCATCTGTTCCCCGCTCAGCCTATCGTGCATATGCACGAGCACCTGCCCCTCTGTATGCACAGCATCATTCGCATATTGCATGCTCGCTGCATTTTTCATGACCTACAATTTCTGCTTATCACGGTCTGATCCATGCCACCATCGTGGACAAAGGTGGCCCTCTGGCTGCCATGCGCGCCGCTGGCCCCGTCTGGGCGCAGTCATGCATCACGCATGCCCTGTAAAAGCACACATAGCACAATAACACTCTCGAGCTTGCAGTCAAGGTATCAGGTGCTTGCTGCGGTGATTACAATTTGATCAAACCACAAATCTTCGTTCCACAAAGAAGATACATACAAAAACCATAGGTCAGGTTGTTGCAAGAGCAGGGGCGCCGTCAAAACCTGAGAGGTCCCCACTCAACAAAAATGGTATCAATTGCTGCCGCTGACGCACTATCTGCTGCTGCTGCTGGTGCTGCCGCTGCTCCTCCTGCTGCTGCTGTCCAGTCGGCTCATGCCACGTGTTTTGCTCATCCTCCTCCGCTGCCGCAGCACCTGCCAACATCGCGCGCAGCCGCCGCGGCTCGAGGCCCGGCGGCAAGTCAAACCCGCGGCACACGGCAAACTGCTCGACGCTCGCTGCGCGGCTGCTGCGGGGCTTGAAAAAGTGGACCTCCGAGAAGACCAGCCGCAGCTGGCTGTAGAGCAGCCCCATGTCCTTGCCTGGGAACAGTCGGTCAACGGATTGCCATGGCAGGATGGGTTGCAGGCAGGGAGGTCAGGGAGAGCGCAAGCAGCAATCAGGGTAGAGACGCGCCAGACGCGTCCCTACCCGTGTCTCTGCTGCTGGGCCGCAGCTCAGAGCAGCCTTTCGACCTGCCGATCGTGATCGTTGCGGCCAAGGGAACAGGGGTTCCATGCCAAGCCGAAACAGCGCGCAGCCCGCCCTCGCCCAAACGTCCCCGCCCCGCGCAATCCTCGGCGCACCCCTGAAGATCTTCGCCACAAACGTGCCGCCCGGCCGCAGCACGGCCGCCGAGACGGCCAGCGCGGCGAGCATCAGCTGCAGCTGGACGTGGGCGTCGAGGTCGTGGAGGCCGGTCACGTCGGGGGCGCCGTCGCAGACGATCAGGTCGGCCTTGCGGCCCGTGAAGTGGCCGATGACCTGGCGGGGTGGGGGGCGGCGGGTTGCACACGTGTGTGCATGTGTGTGTGTGTGTGTATGTGTGTGCATGTGTTTACTTCGAGGGGTGCATGATGTCATGCTGTTGTGCAAAAGGCTGAGCAGGCGGGGGTCACCGATGCAGGGTGCACGACTCCCGGCTTGCATACATGATGAAGGAGGCGCGCCGCCCGCACTGCTTGCGGCGCGTTGGCCGC